AAAGTAGTAGTAGTAGTAGTACTAGTAGTAGCAGTAGTAGTGGCAGTAGTAGTAGTAGTAGTAGTAGTAGTAGTAGTAGTAGTAGTAGTAGCCGTAGAAGTAGTAGTAGTAGTAGTAGTAGTAGTAGTAGTAGTAGTAGTAGGAGTAGGAGTAGTAGTAGTAGTCGTAGTAGTCGTAGGAGGTGGATGAGGAAGACGAGGAGGAGGATGAGAAGGAAGTGGCGGATGATGCTGCTGCTGATGATGATGACGATGATGCTGATGATGATAATGAGGATGATGCTGATGTGGATGCTGATGATCATGACGATGATGCTGATGCTGGTGATGCTGATGCCGATGCTGATGCTGCTGCGGCTGAGGATGATGCTGATGATTATGATGCTGCTGAACGGATGATGATGGTGACGATGCTGATTATGATGATGGCGCTGATGCTGCTGCTGCTGATGATGGTGGTGGTGATGATACTGAGGATGAGGAGGATGATGGTGGTGATGGTGCTGAGGATGATGATGTTGATGCTGATGATTATGATGATGGCAGTGATGATGCTGCTGATGCTGCTGCTGATGATGATGACGATGATGCTGATGATGACGATGATGATGCTGATGATGATGATGCTGATGAAGCTAATGATGATGCTGATGCTGATGCTGATGCTGCTGTTGATGATGATTATGAGGATGCTGATGATGATGATGCTGATGACGATGATGCTGATGCTGCTGCTGATGATAATGCTGATTCTGATGCTGATGCTGCTGCTGATGATGATGGTGACGACGATGATGATGATGCTGATGATGATGATGAAGATGATGATGACGATGATGATGATGATCATGATGATGCTGCTGATGATGATGCTGATGGTGATGATAATGAGGATGAGGATGATAATGAGGATGAGGATGATGATGATGCAGATGAGGAGGAGGTGGAGGAGGAGGAGGAGGAGGAGTGGGAGGAGGAGGAGGAGGAGGAGGAGGATGAGGAGTAAGAAAATAATAAGAATACGACAAACACTAATTATAATGCGAGCAAGAAGAATAGTAGTAACATTACTAATACCGATACTACTAATACTCACACTGATCATATGAATGGTAACAGTTAGGATAATAATACCACCAGCAATAAGAATTGTATCAATACTTGGAACAATGCTATTACTAATCATATTACTCATACTAATGACGATACTAAGATTCATAGTGTGATGAGGAATAATGTTAATACTCGTAGTAGTAATCTATGCAATTTAAACGATTACTCATATACTTAACACTAATACTAACACAACTAATGCTATTTATACGAATGATAGAAACCAACCATAATAGTAAGGCGAAGAGGAGGAGGAGGAGAAGAGGAGGAAGAGGAGGAAGAGGAGGAGGAGGAGGAGGAGGAGGCGCAGGAGGAGGAGGAAGAAGGGGAGCGGAGGAGCAGGATAAGGAGGAGGAGGGCTGCAGGAGGAGAACGAGAGGAGGGGTGCGAGGAGGTGCAGGAGGAGGAGGAGGAGGAGGAGGAGGGAGAAAGAGGAGGAGGTGGAGGAGGGGGAGGGAGGAGGAGGAGGAGGAGGAGGAGGAGGAGGAGGAGGAGAAGGAGGGGGAGGGAGGAGGAGGAGGAGGAGGAGGAGGAGGAGGAGGAGGAGGAGGAGGCGGAGGCGGAGGCGGAGGCGGAGGCGAGGGAGGCGGAGGCGGAGGAGGAAGAGGCGGAGGCGGAGGCGAGGCAGGAGGAGGAGGAGCAGGAGGAGGAGAAGGAGGAGGCAGAGGAGGAAGAGGCGGAGGAGGAGGATCAGCCGCAGCATCTGCTCTCAGTCCATGAAGCTCTTACACAATTTTTAGAGCCAGCGTTCGCGGCGGCAAAGCGAGAGTCACATTTTGAAAACCACCCGCCCTCAATGCGTGAAGCTCTTGCAATTTTTCTCAGACGAATGTGCGCCGCGCTAAGGCGAGATCCGCAGTTTGGAAACCACCCGCCTTCCATGTGTGAAACGGCTTCCAATTTCAAAATCAGGGTCATAAGTGGTGGGGAAGTCTCAGGCGAAACGCCCAGCCCGCCCTTTCGACCGGCTTCGGGGTGCGACAGGGAGGAATTATCTACAAGGAGAAGGAATGAAGGAGGAGGAGGAAGAGTATCAGGAGTAGGAGGAGGAGGAGGAGGAGGATCCACGCGAGCGCAACATGATCCTTGGCGATCCCGACGCGGGCCGAAACTTCCTGAACATCTTGAACATGCACGAGGCGGGGGACATCCACGGCGTCTTGCCAGCACGCGTCGGCATGGAGGTTCAGCTCACTGCCGCGCAGGAGGAACCGAATAATAATATAATCTTACAATTACTAGTAAGAGCAACATTAATAATATGGTCGAATAATACTACTAACGCTATTAAGACGAAGGTTGCGAATTATCATCAGACCAATGTTTAAGGTTGGCAAGAAAACTAATCATGCTAGAAAGAATACGTTGGGGCTCGTACAGAAGCAAATCGCCACCATGGTGTCCTTCGAGTTCCACCCAGACGACGAGCAGGAGTACTAGGGGTGCGTGCCAGGCCAGCTCTGTCGCCTTCGCTTCTTACCGCAAAGGATCTGGATGCTGTTGCACGGCCTCATCGAGTCCTCCGCGATCTACCAGGAGGTCGCTGGGCTGCTGCTACAGGGTGCCGAAGGCGCTGGCGACGACGGCGAGGCCAAGGCGCGGGCAAGGAGCTTGCTCGTGTTCAGGCCCAGCGTGCAGGAGCTCATGTGACAGAGTACAGGGCCGCACCTCGTGCGCCACTCGGGGCTCATCCTGAGGCGCGCGTCCTACCTGACCTCCGCGTTGTCGCAAGGTCAGACGCCGCACAGGGGCGCCGCCGTCGACTGCGCCAGGGATAGAGGGCGCTGGTCG